TCTGTTTTTTTCCTTTCTAAAGACTTCCAATTCATCACTATTGTAATCACTAGGAATAGGTTCATTCTGATCCTCATCCTCCTCATTTGATTCACAATCAGTTGCTACCTCTACTGGCACAGCAGGGTAAGGCTTGTTCAGGTCACAAATATTAGGAATAACAGCAGTAGCTTCACCCTCATCTACAGCAAATAATTGAAGAACACTAAACTGACTAGACATAGCAGATTGTAGAGTCCTAATGCTTGAATCATCCTCAAGCAAATAATATCTACCAGTTGGCTTTGTTACTAACAATTGTTTTACAGCCCTAAACCCACATTTCTCAATGAACTCTGAGCAAATGTCAATATATGACAGCAAATCCACATCATAACCATGCCAGGTTTCATTCAATTTTTTAATGTATACAACTTGAGGAGAAAGGACCCACTTGCCCCCATAGTTAAATACTAAATCCACTTTTTCGGTCATTCTTCAAATTTTTCACATGGCAGACAAAAAAAGGGAAAAGGAATTGTCAGCCATAAACAAAACAAGTTATAGGAAAACTAACATTATTTAATTTGAAGATAAAGGTAGTAAAGTTATAGGGACCACTAACACTATTTATTTCAACTTCACATAGAATGCAACACTAAAACAAACAAAAAAGTGCACAAATTGGGAACAATAAAGTCATACACATACCAGTCACACACATACCTAACTCGAGAAAACAATCTATAAAACATGTAAAAGCAATAAAAGGCCCTAACATCAGAAAACAATGTATAATGTCAACACTACACAAACTTCACAACACGTACAATAGACCAAATGCAATAAAAAATCGAATAAAACTAAACCCTAACTATTTACGAAATACATTTAATCGAACAATCATTACACAATATTTATGAAAATTATTAAGAGTAAGTCTTCAGTTCTTACTTTATCGGAGTAGCAAAACGATTTCTTCACTTTTTACTTGAACATCGCGGCAGATCCAAGAACTGATGAAGTTGGGGGGAAATGTTTAGGGTTTTGTTTAAAGAAATGGGTAATGGGTGTTTTATTTGGATGGGTTGGGTATTTTGAAGATGGGTCGGGTGGATCCGGGTGGATAGGGTGGTTTGGATCAAATAAATTAGGCTTTAATTAATTAAATTTCCAACCAATTACAACATGCCACGTAATAAATGAAATAATTAAATATATTTACTAAGTAGTCCGTTAGTCAAAAGGGCAAAATAGGTCCCTAGAGGTTAACCCCAAGGGTATTTTGAGGCCGAAAGGTAAACGAGGGGTATTTTTGTACCAATTCTGATACTATAAGGGTATTTTAGACCCTTCTCCCATTATTTTATTACATTTTAATTTAGTGTAGGGAAAATGATAATCCAACTTTGCACTTTGGAACTTTTCACTTTTAATAATATAATATACTAGTTTTTGGGCACGTGCTTTGCGTCTGTATCCCATATCATTGAGTAGATAAGTTTAAAAAATCATATTATTATTTTTAAGTTCTATGTTTGAATTATGAAAATATTTAATGCTGATCTTATTCGGTTAGGTCAATGAAGAAAATGTTCTTGTCCCATGAAAAGCCTCAAATACCTTTTTGTACTTTTTGGTTTGCCTCAATGCCTTTTTTTTAATTTCTATATTTGGCTCTAACAATAATAATCTTATTATTCATTGACATATACATTCATTATAGTAAGAAATAGATGATAAATTTATACAAAGTAATTGAGAAAAATGAACATACATCATATATCAACTATTTTCCTCTATTGATTATTTTAAAGGTGAGGGTTATACATATTTCTATTTTATAAGTCCATTAAAATTATATTTGTTTCGTATAAATTTAAAAATAATTTGCATATATAAGCGATAAACAAACTTAACAAAAACAAACAAACTTTATTTACTAAAGCTAATCGTTATTTGGCAATCAAGGCCAATAACAAAAAAGTTTACAACTCATAGCGACTCACAAAGTTTCATTTTAATTTTGCTAATAATTAAAGTATTAATTTACTTACAAATTCGATAAAAATAAATGTCAAAAAATGTTAAAGAAAAATTTTTAATTCGACGAGAGGGAGTTGCTCGGATGGTAAGCACCCCTCACTTCCAACCCAAAGGTTGCGAGTTCGAGTCACCAAGGGAGCAAAAAGGGGTGGGAGCTCCTAGGGATGATAAAAAAAAAAAAAAACTTCATTCGTAGTTACAATTGTACGAAACACCAACACTGCATATTTACTGCTGGAACTTCTGACATTGAGGAAGAGGTTGATGAATCTCAGAGTGAGGGAATAACTCTTACAAAATGGAGAGTCAGACAAATATTGCGACAAAGAAGACAAAGACCTCAACAAGACTACATGAATAATGACTACCATAAAATGATGATCGATGTTATTACAATGGAAAGCCTACCAAATTAGACAGAATTGTCCTGAACTCAAAAGAAGGAGCCATAGGAAGAATGGGGATCCAAAGAGTCTTGGAGAGTGGAGCAATGAAAACGCATTGGAAGAAGATCATGCCGAAACAACAAATATCTGCTTTATGGCAAGGGGAGAATCAAGCGAGGTAAGACAACATGATTGTCGTAATTGTAATTATTTACAAAATTCTCTAGATATGGTTATCAATGAATTGCAGAAGGTTACTAATGAATATAATAATTACGCCCGACACTCGTGTATTTAGGTATACACTCCGAAACAGGTACCCTTAAATCAATTGAACTAGATCGGTGTAAGTTTCACCTTCAAATCATTAACTATGTTTTGATTTAACTGCACGTGCGAGGGTTCGAACAGGCGATTTAACACATAAAAATTGATTCCCTGCATACAGAAAATACAATAGTATGAAACTACACTTACATTAAGTTACATTACATTAACTATTTTGAGTTGGCCGCAACTTTGACTCGCCCTCAGCTCTAGCTAGTCTCCAGCACATTAGGTTCCAATGTGAGCTATTCATTCTAGCTCGTGTTGGATTCTCTCGGTCGTGGCATGATGTCCTTAGTTTTCGGACACAAACTACTTTATTTATTTTGATGTCTTTTATACTCTTAGACTTAGTATTTGGGGTTTAGATGTCCTTGATGTGATGAGTTTCAGGTTTCGGAAAACGATATTTAATAGACTTTAGTGGATTTTGTATTTCTTACATTAATAAGATTTGAGCTTCCGCATTATGGTTAGTATTTCGTAAGTTGAACAATTAATATAAGTTAGGGTGTGATTTCGTTGCTTCCCCCACCTAGGAGGTTAAGTGAGGGTACCACTCATGACTCATTTTAGGTCGTGACAAACTTGATATCAGAGTCTTAGGTTCAACGATCTCATCACACGAGGACAAGTCTAGTAGTGTCTTGTAGAACAGTATGGGGACGCCTTTACTTTTCTTCGAGAGGCTATATGACTTTAGGAAAAATCCATTCTTTCCTTCTTTCGTGCAATTACTTGAATCAAATCGGTATCTAAATATCTCTAAAAACAGAATATAGCATTGAAAATATCTCTAAAAATACTATTCTACCTGTAGTTGTAGAGAGAAAAATGTATATATTCTGGACTCCATTAAAAGTGCCGATGAACACATGTTTAGCCTCTATCTCTAAAGATCTATTAATATGTTACAAAAATTTAATCATTCAAATATGTGTCTCATTGAAAAACTTGCCACACTTAATTAAGCTAGTCATTGATCTGCCAAAGTCAAACTACAATTTACAATTGCAAAATAAATTCACTCAAGATAACTAATCAATGCTCTGGGAAGTTCATAAGTTTATTTACTGTATTTATGACAACTTTTCACTTCAAAATTACAACCACTTCTTTGAATTCAAGTGAAATAAATTGGAGGAAAACAACATACACTTTTACAATTTTTTGTAACATTTAAAAATTTCCCACCAAAATATTTTGTTATAAAAAATATCTCTTCTCCTTCTTCAGGAAATTTGTTCAAATCAATTTTGCCTGCTGCAATATGCTTAATTTTTCCCTCATTAACTAACGAAATGCTTTATGAGTAACTTAAAAGGATTATGTAACTCCCCAAGTATAATAAATGTATTGTCTGGTTCCCAAAAGGATGAATTACAGCTTACTAGAAATTTTCAAGAAGTTTAAATGAGGATATAATAAGAAATTTTTTTTGTCCTTTCTTGATTTGTCAAAATGGACAAGTAAATAGGAACAGCTAAAAGAAGAAATATGAACAAGTAAATAGGGACAGATGGAGTATTAGATGAAAAACTATACATCAAAAAGGGTATATTGATAGCGTTATAATTACTTTATATTAATAATATATAAATCAAAGTAATATTATAAAAGAATATCAAAACAAGAGAAGTAAGCATATAGTAATGTCATACGACAAAGAAGATGAGTGTTATCAAGCCAAACTTGGAGGGAGTTCTTTGAAATTATCTCGTCTTAGTTTTATTAAACAAAATAAAGGAGAACATGGGCCATAACTTACAAAACATGGACTACAACTTACAATTATGACCATCTAATAGCAGCATCATATACTTTACATAAATATTAAATGAAATATCATTTCATGTCCGGTACTCGACCAGAAAAAGTTTACACGTCACTTAGGAGCCCTACCCACATTCCAAAGGCGCCACTTCAATTGACATGTATTATTTCTTTCCTTAAACATAAAAATAGTGGTACTATATTTATACTGAGGGGAAGTACTTGGAAAGGCCATAAGGGAGAGAATAGAACTCTTCACTTCTAGGATCTTTGTCAAAATGCTTGAACTTTGCCCACCAATGCCTTCCACTGTCTTTCTTGGTGTTGACATGTTTTCGAGCAAGAGTTAAGTCCAAGAACAATGCCACAATTCCTGCCACTGTGGCAGGAGACGTGAAGATTACTTGCATTATTTTGTTAAACTGCAATTAGTTTAAAGGCCAAAAATTATTGTCATTCAATTCAGTTACATATATATAAAACTTGTTGCATTGAATGTAAAATGAATATGACACATGTGGTGCTTACCCAGGCAGAGCCAGAGCGAACGGGACCATCACCAGTGGTTATCACATAACCATTGAAGTATTGTGGCACAGAAAGACCCAAGTAGATAGACAAACCTAATATAAATGTAGTCCTGAAGCTGTTGAGATTGCAAAATTGAAGTAATCCAAGACCAGCAGAAGCTGCATTAACCGATCAAACGTCAGAATATAAGGCAAAATAAACAGCATACACCTTGAATGAAACAAGTATATTCTCATTTTTATTGCACAAATTCTCTTGAAGATTTTAGTTTTTGATGTTGATTTTCCATGCTTAATATCTGAATGGTGATCGAGAATTAGATTACACAAAACCAAAAAAAACTAGCTGAGAGGTGTTTGCGCAGAAATTTCTTGAAGAACCATATATAGACTACACTAGAAATATTGAAAGCAATGACATACACATGAAGGCAAACATGACACAGTACAAAGCTCCAACAATTGGCAGAGGTATGGAAGCTAGAACAGCTCCAAATTTTCCTGTTCATGGACAAAAATGTTCAACAATTAGTCTCAAACTGAAATTCTGCAATTACACAGACGAGAAATGAGATATGGATTCACCAGTATAAACCGTAAAATACTTCTATTAACAAATTTTGCATCAAAGAGAATAACTTAAGACGAGGGATAAAGTGACCAAAAATACTGATAGATCACTGCAGATACCCTTATTTAATCGATGTAAAACTTTACCTCTAATGCTCTCCTGTATGCTTAAGTAGAGTTTTTAGGTTTGGTGTTTGGAGTTTGTGAGATAGAAGCATGGAGTAGTAGAATAAGTTGAGAAGACAAAAATATCTCTTACACTTACACACCTACTGTATTTTAAGTCGGCTTTTTGATGTGTTTGGCTTCGATTTACCACGACTAAGTTTTTCATTCAAATTTGGACTTAAATTTTTTTTTTTGTCGAAGAAAAGTAGTAATAGGATGAGTTGAGAAGAGAAGAAATATAGTTGTCTAAGAAAAAGAGGAGAAATGGCCCAAGAGATTTGCTTATCAATGTTCTTACTCTTAAATTACTGGACTATCTTACTTACCTAACACGGAAAAGAAAAGCATAAATATTGCAGACATTTGAATCACTCTTCTGCTTCCAACTCGAGTCATTGCCAAAAGACCTACATTTTCACTGCATAGATCACAAGAGAAAAATACTAGATGATGTAGTCAACTATCTAACTTTACTAGCATGAAATTCTCAGCGATGATTTACTTTATAGAGACTACAAAATGACTGGAACAATTAGTTTCATAATACTAGTAATCCTCTTTCCTGACCGAACTTTTGCTCTTGATTAGGACAGTAGTATGAAATTTAACACAAAGTAAATGTTCTACTTTAAGCGTTCCGTAGGAAAAAATGATGTTTGAAATTAGATGCTGTGGAGTAGATATATTACACTGACACTGTAGATCCACTTGCAGTTCCCCATAGACCACTCAGCAAAATGCCTAATCCCTGGATGTCACGAAAAGCAAATTGATGTGAGCAGAGAAATTTTACAATTGAAGAAAGATTAGTCGATGACAAGTGTAAATATCATCCAGCTGGTACATCTACGAACCAGCCAACCAGCACCACGGCTAATTACTGAACCCGGTGTATGTGTTACACTTCCATATCTTGCAGCTGCTATAAATGCTCCAGTAGACTGTCGAAATAACAACAATAGGAATACTTAATAGAAAATTCTATGGAAGCATGTTCTCCACAAATATGTCTCATCAAAGACTTCAGAGTTTAGTGCCTAACAAGGATAAATAACATCTTTAAAAAAAATCTGTTAGCTTTATGTATCTTATACATGGAAAAACTGTTTCTCGAAGGAAAAAATATATATTTTTCATTATAGTTTTTACTAGCAAGAGAGAAACCTGAACCAAGTTAGAACTGTATATAGACCTCGACAAGAGAAACCAAAGCTGCAGCCATCATTACAAAGACATCTCCAGCATCAACTTTCGGAGCACCCCATTGCCATGGATAAGGTACCTTTATCCTGTATTTCCGCAAGTCAGTGAAAGCAGAACCAAATCAAAGCAAATCACTTAAAACTCTATAGAGAAGAGTTCGATGAGGAAAGAAGTTAAACACAATATCAAATTGTAGTTGACCTAAAATCCTCGAAACGAAGCTTCTATCGTTACCAATGATCTTATACTTCAAATATCTACCACTTCAGGATATCATTTTGTTCATAATCAATACCATTAAAGGACAAGGATACGAATTAACTAAAACGCAAGGTTAATGTAGCATACCATGAAGCTCCACTGATGAGCCCAGACCGATCCACACGGCAACTGAATTGAGTCTGTGGAGGTCTATTGTTGTATGCACCTGTCACAGTGAGAATTGCTGCATATGCCCACACTATAGCAACTGATAATAGGACAGCAAATCGTTCAAAGATGGGACGCTTTAATTTCCACATGTGAGGAATGTACTGCACAGACATTTATTTCCCATATATTAGACTACTGGCATAACTATTAGAATTCATTCAAAGAAATTCATCTGTATGGAAACTCAATGCTGTTTATTAAAGAAATGGCTTACTTGAGACAACAATATTAGTATTATTAACCCTGGAAGACCAATTTCAACACATTCTGCCAGCTGAATCAACAGAAATGAAAAAGAGGTTAGTAAATCCAATGATGAAAAAGGAAAAACAGATAGATACTACTTCATGGAAATAAAATATGTTACAAATTGACTAGAGGCCTTCTACATGTGTACTATCGATGTATATAACCAATTATACTTAGTGAAAGGCATCAACGGCCTATCTAAAAGATAGAGATCAACAATCAGAAGTCTTACAAGCGGAAAACCATGCGTATATAGGCCAAGGCCTACAAGCAACACCGGTGGAGCTGCAGAGAGAGGGGATAGGACCCTACATTGTTAAACAACGCTGTAATAAGACTTTTTTTTTTCTTAACAATACAAACACGAATAGGATGGAAATGAAGGATAAATCCTGCAAAATGAACACCTTATGACAATTCTCCAGAGTCCGAGAAAGCCAATTAATATGGGAAGTATGGATGCAATCATCAGAGCTCCCTGCATTCCTCTCATCGAATGTATAAACCTCTGAAGAAAATGATCAAAACAAAGTCGGGATCAAACTCAAACATAAAAACAGGAAACTGATGCAACAAGATGGAATATGCCAACCTCGCGAGGGTCAAGATATGTATTGTATCTACTTGATAATGCAACAAAAGTAGCTGGAATTATGAATGTGAATGATCCACCTATCACCACAGGAAGCCGGGTTCCGAACAAAGACTGCAAAAGAGTATTCAGCCCAGCAACAAAGAGCAAAGTTTGAATTACTTGAGCTTTCTCCTCCTGAAAGACATAATTTTGAAACCATTATTGTAAGTACACTAGTCCTCCATGTGCCCGAACCTGTAAACCCAAATTGCTCTTCAAAATGATTGATAAAGTAAATACTTACATTGCCACCACCCATTTGAGGAACAACGATAGTCGGGATAATAACAGTAGTTCCCAGCATAACGATGTAGTGCTGAAAACCCAGAATAATGGCCTCCGCTGCATATTATTTGAAGAAGTGGACAGTCAACAGCTTGTATTCTGTCTTCCGATCACACGAAGAGGACAACATAAATTTTTTTGTATTGGCTTTCCACTTGTGATTTCAACGTACATTTAGGCATTTAAACAAAGAAAAACTTGAGGCTTAATTAGGTAACATGAGTATGAAAGTGATCAAATCAGAACATCTGATCCCTTTGATGATCAAAATGCATAACAATCCTAAGAATCATGAATTTGACTATATGCAGCAGCAGATCCATAATTTAGACACTACAGGCTCTTGAGAGAGTGTATTTTGAAATGTACATCTAACTCAATTTATTCTTGTTTTTTTGCACACATATACAGGGCTCGACTTTGAATCACTGGTCCTGCCAAACCCACAAGCTCGTGGTTGAATCCGCCACAGGCTATATGATCCAATCTGTTCAATTCAAATCTGTTTCATTTCATTACTAGATATTTTGTCTATCACTTCACATAAATTTGATTGGGTAACCCGAACTCAAGGAACACCATAACACTTAAAAGGATCCAAACAACACACATGCTCTTCAGGCAATGAAAATGGAAACAGAGAGTCGCGTTTTCACAAGACTAGAGGATTGAAAGTAATAAAAACCAATAAAATGCAGGACCCTGGAAGCTTTACTAGCTCAAATGAGGAAAGCTAGTGAACAAAATTATGAAATAAAAAGCAAGAAAATTAACATGTATGTATAGGTTCAACTAATCAATCAACTTTTCAGTCTTAAACTAGTTGAGATCAAGAAAGTAATGTGTAACACAAATTACGTACGCCACGAAGGGTTGCTGTTAACACAATAATCAACTCCTGGCAATTGGTCCTTCACTGGATGTGGCACCAATTCATCAGCTTTCACCTGTGGCGCCATCGCTTTTGTTTTATCTCTAAGTTAACTCTAACAACACTAGTTCAAACATGCTAAATTTATATCAGATTAGCATGGACTACGTAATCAAGGGCTATTCTTATCTTTAGCTCAAATTATTATATATATAAACAGAAAGGACTGAGAAATTTCAAAGTAGGTAATCATCTACTACATTCGTACTCATTATGAAACATGAAAAAGGAGTTAGTGGTTCAGAACCATGTGTGTATTTAAAATTTCTTTTATGTTTACATAATTTGAGTGAAAAACAATGAATTTAGTTGAACCAGCAATATTCAGATTTGACCACAAAATTAAATTCAAATGAGGAAGAAGAAAATTGACAAGTTGAACAATTATAGAGTAAGATATGATTAGGCAGTGATGTTGAGAGTTAAGCTAGTTAACAAACTTTTAAAATTTTATATGTTTACTCTTTAAAAAGTTTGGTGATTTGAACAAATATCATACTTTTGTGCTAGTGTGTTTAAGTTTTGAAACCATTTTAAATTTGTTAAAAAAAATAGTTTGTGGGTCAAATTTTGGTCACAATTGCATGCGGATCACAAGGAATAGAGACGAGCCAAGATTTTTAGTTTATGAGTTCCTGATCATAATTTTTTTTGTTTATCGGTTTTTGAATAGATTACTTATATATATATTAATTATTTTTTGGAAAAATTGTGCCTTCATACAATTGGGAATGGACCTTAAAACACATGATCAAATAAGACATTACCCGATCCAAGCTGATACATTTACGAAGAATGGTTCGATTCTTTAGTGTAAAATTTTGCGAGGTACTTTTACATAAAAGCTATTTTCATTGCAGTGTACGGTGCTAGCTAGTAGTCACTTCACATGGTAATACCTATTTTTCTCGTGAAAGAACAAAAAAATGTTACTATAGTAAGTATTCCATTTACATTACAGTATTGGATTGAAGTTTAATATCTTAAATTTATTGGGTATTGAACTTCCAATTATAGATTATGGGTAATGAGTAGAAGCACGCAATAAGCTTGTCGGAAAATTTGTCAAATTGTTTAACTTGGCACTGTTGAATGTATTTGTTTCAGGTCAAACATTTTGATAATTTTGTCCTCATTTTTATTTTTATTTTTGGTTTCCATCCGGTGTCCAAAGCCCACATTGGAGCTCCGATTAAATTCGGATCGCACTCTGCAGTGCCCATTCAGGGGTGGCACTCCCAACAAGATTTTCTCCATACCCAGGGCTCGAACTCAAGACCTCTGGTTAAGGGTGAAACACTCCCACCAGTGCATCACAATCCATGTTGGTGTCCTCATTTTATTTCTCATTTGCTTTTGAAAAAAAAAACATTTTAGAAATATCAAACTGAAATTGAAAAAATCAAATAGAATAGAATTAATTTGATTCAGTGTTCGTTATATATGTATTTTTCCAAAATCAAAGAATCGAATGTCCATCCCTAAATGGATCTGACCGTTAGTTAGAATTGACAAAATAGTTAGTTAGCGAATATGTTTACGGATGGCAATAGGGCGAGGTGGGTTTAAGGCTACATGGGGCTGGATGGGTTTAAGGTTGTACGGGACGGGTTAAAGTGGATTTTTTAAAAATCAATGCGGGGCAGAGCAAGTTGCGGGTATATGTGATTTATGTGGGTTCAAGCTTAATTTTGACTTTGCTACATGTAAGAGTGATAGAGTATTATTATTAAGATAATTTCTTTAAAGCTACTAAAATATTCAAGATATTAAATGAAAATGGTTCAATAAAAAATAATATAATTTCTTACATGTTTCCCGATTGACCTCTAAAAACTAAATTGTAAAGTCATTATCTATTAAATTAATACGACTTAATGAAAAAATGAATTTATTTTTAGTATCAAACTTAACTAGAAAAAAATATTAAAAAAGTTATGCGGGGCTGGTTCATGCGGGGCCAGACTATGCTGAACGCGTTGAAAATAAAAAAGAAGTTATTTTGCGGGACAGGGAGGGGCAAATTAATTTTTTTGCGGGTTAAGCTCAACCCGCCCCACCCCATTGCCATTCCTAAATATGTTGAGTCTTGAGTATTTATTCAATTGTAATAATCATTCTTGGCCTTTATGAAATACAATTACAAGTTCCTTTCTATATTCTCTCTTCAAGTGTTTTTTGGGTTTCCCACCCGGTGTCCGGAGGCCATATTGGAGCTCCGACTAAATTCGGATCGTGCTTTGCAGGGCCCATTCGGGTGTGACACTCCCAACATGATTTTCTCCATACCCAGGGCTCGAACCCGAAACCTCTGGTTAAGGGTGAAACACTCCCACCAGTGCACCACAACCCATGTTGGTTCTCTCTTCAAGTTTACAACTTCTCTAATTGCCTTTATTTATTCCAATCTTAAGACTGTCATTAATTAAAATTTAATTGCAACTCAACCTTTTTAATTTTTATTAACAAGAGGATCTTTGTGTGATTATTCAATATATCATATTTTATTTCATGCACACAAAAAAAAAATCAATTAAAAATTCATATGCACTACCAAGTTTTTTTTTTTTTTTTGTTTTTTTTACGCATTGATTTAACTTATGTGCACTACCAAGTCCCAAGCATCACACCCTTTCTTACAAGGATTAGGACATTCATGGGAGTACCTAATTTCTTATCATATGTAGCCTAATAAACATGCAAATTCCAATTATATATATGTAAATACGAAGCACATTTTGGATCAACATATATACAAAACAATCATCATGCATGCCCATATTTCATTTGTTAATAATCAAATACTTCTAGAATCAGAAAATATAATTATATTAGGTTGTAATTAACTACTAGTTTTTTAGTAGGGAAATGAATCTAACAAACAAATCTACCCTAAGAAAGGCAATCTCAATTTCTTTAATTTATCTTTCTCTACACACTCACTTAATTTTCATTTCTAGGTTGCGTTGTTTACATGTTGATTCAAATTCTATAATGTTAAACTAATGTACATATTTACACAAAGTGACATGCTTAAGATTATTTGACAGATTAAACATCTTTTACCACAATTTAAGATGAGGGATTGAAGATCTGAAGAGCAGCCAACCTTAATTATTCACATAAATTTAGGTAGGCAGAAAGCATACTAATTTGCCAACTTTATTACTAACGTAGCTTAACAACAAAAAACAAGTTAGAATATATGAAAATGAGTTTTAAGTACTAATATACACCATAAACAAGGCCATGCTAACCTTTTGCTTTATGGGTGTTATATTTTACTAAAGTTGGAAAATCAATTAAGTAATTAATACACTCTTAATAAAAGTTATGGACTATGACATAAATTTTATTTCTTATTTTGTTTCGTTCATTTCTGGAACATATCATATTGAGAAAAATACTGAAAACACTCTTGACAGCTTAAAAATACACACCATTTTATTTGACTGACTAAATTTAGTTATACCCTCGATCTGCCACCACATTACATAGCAAGTGGTCTCAAACTATTATAAGAGCATGCAACTCTTAATAAAAAATCGAGAGAAGTGTTGAATACACCTTAAACTTGGCGAGAATTTAAGGGTATACTTTACTCATGTTGTAAGATCGGGGGTGTATTTAAGTTCAGTTAGTAGATAAAATTAAGACTGTCAATAGGTCAAGGATGAAACTATTAATTTACACCGACTTTAGGGATGTTTTCAGTTAACTTAGAAAGTACTAGGAAGATATATTAGTAATTACAACTTTTAAGACTGGCGGCCAAACGAATGCAAGTGTTAGGCGGGAAAGGTGCACCTACCAAATACAAAAGTTATAAATGGAGAAAAATATATATTGTTCTTATATATATAATAATTAAAATAAGAGGTAGTTCACCTATAGCCTACTTTTTATTTTCTTATATGAAGATATTAATGGGAAAACCAAAAGTTACAAAAGAAAAAGAAAAAGAAATGGACCAAGAACTTCAAAATAAATAGGTCCCTTCAAGTTGATAAGTTTCAAATTCTTGGGAGTAGTTGAAACTTACAAACTGATTTGGATTAATTGATTTGCCAAGTTAACAACCAATTTTAACAATTAACACCTTCTTAGATTATTAATTATCAAACAGCTGAATTTAAAATATTATGTAAGTTAAATAATTCTGTTAATTAGGGTGACTAGGTGGGTTGGATCACATTAATAAAATATTAGTTATTCTAATAGTTTGTTGTTGATGTTATTTTGTAAAATCGTTTTTGTTATTGTTAGTGCACTCGAAAAATAGCGGTGACGATTTTCAAAAATATATATTATTTTTTTGTCTATTCATGTTGCCTTGATGTTAAATTCCATCAATTTTTCTATCGTAATATAATTTATTGTAGGAAAAAAAGTCTGAAATGTAAGCTGTCAAAAGGACAAAACAAATGACGTAAGCACTTACGTCAAAAAAAGAAGAAGATAAAAAGAGAATAATCTTATCTCTTTCTACTTTATCTCTTTAGTCAAAACGAGATATATATATATATATATATATATATATATATATATATATTGTGGGAGT